ATACAGATAAGATTTTTTTTCTTTTTTCTTTTTGTTGTTACCCCCTTTTACTTTTTTCTAATTAGAATCAGCTTGATTTCAAGATATTTCTTTACATTAGTTTTTTTTGGGGGAACCATAAAGGTGGAGAGTGGGTAGTTTTTATTTTATAAACAAGAAGAGGGACCCTTGGTATTAACGCCATCAGGATGGCAGTTGCAACTTTCAAGAGTTTATCGATAAAGGCAAGACTATTTTCGGATCGATTAAAAGGTTTAGAAAAATTTGTAGGGGGCGCAGACGTCGACAAAGTCAGCACGATTTTACGTTTGGGGGACCTAACCCGTAAATTTCAAGAATGTGAGGACTTAATAGAAGCGCTTAGTGTTGAGAACGGAAAGGTAATGGAAGTAGAGACGTGGCCAGACATCAGCAAGCGGTATTACAAGATAGCCAGCGATATTGCGAAGTTGAATGCTCTCGACGGGAGGAACAATGCGTCTTTAGTAGGTCAGGGAGGAGGAATGGGCTCTTCGACTTTTGTAGAACACCAGCGTCTCTTAAAACTCCCAGTAGCAGAACTTCCAAGGTTTAGCGGTGGGCACGAAGAATGGTTGTCGTATTAAAACACTTTCTTGACGATGATCAATTCACGCAGTGACATCGATAAACTGGTCAAGTTTATGTATTTGCGGAATACTTTACAGGGCGAAGCGTTGAACAAGATTTCGATTTATACCATCAGCGCGGAGAACTATGACAAGGCTTGGAAAACTCTGGTTGATTCGTACGAGCGTCGGCGTATTCTGATCTCTAAGCATCTTGATGCAATCCTCGACATTCCGCCGTTGAAGACTGCTACTTCCAAGGATTTGTCCATAATCGTTGACAAGGTGAAACAGCACTTGAATTCGTTGGAGCCTCTTGGTGGTATGGAACCTCCCCGTATGGTCGTTCGTTTACTTGAGAGGGCCTTACCATCGCCCATTCGTCAAAGATGGGAGGACTCGCTTGCGGTGGACGAGCTCCCGAACCTTGAAACATTTTATTCGTTCATCGAAGGGGTAGTTTCGAGGATGTACACAATGGAGAATGATTGTCCGCAGTTCAAAGACGCCATCGAATCAGCCGGCAAGCCGAATCTGGAATCCAGGAAGGCGAGGAAGACCAACGACGGTGCTCGGATCCTCGTGACTACAGCAGAGCAGCCATGCGTGAAATGCGATCAAGCACACTCGCTGTATCGTTGTCCAGAGTTTGCTACTTTGTCGGTCCAAGCTCGGTGGGATTTCGTTAGAACACATCGTTTGTGCTTCAATTGTTTGCATTCATATGTCGGAAAGTGCAACCTGGGGCATTGCAGGCGATGCGATAAGTACCACAACACCTTGTTGCATGCGGACCCGAAGACGTCCCAGTCAACAGCGAAGTCTGGTGGAACTCTTGGTGGAAATTCGTCCAACAACGCTTCTCACGCATGACTAGGTTTAGATATTTTCAGTGCCGTGTCTAGGTCACTCACATCTCAACTTCTCATGAGCGCGGTCATTTGGGTCAAGTCAAGGAAGGAGAGCTTCATCGAAGGTCGTGCACTGTTGGATACTTGTTCCACTAATCATTTCGTGACGGAGCGTTTCGTGCAACAACTCCAATTTCAGTTGCAGGCTTGCGAAATGCCCATTAGAGGCTTTGGAGGAAGTGGCTCCATATCGAAGGGGTCTATTGAACTCGTCATTCGTTCGCGAGTCAATGTATTTTAGAAGACTCTAAATTGCCTTGTAGTCCCCAATATCACCAGCAAGATTCCAAGCGAACCATTTCCATGGGAAGTAATCGATATTCCGCATAACCTTCGATTAGCTGATCCGCAGTTCCACGTTCCTCGTCCGGTCGACATCCTTATAGGTTCAGGTGAGACTCTATTTTTTCTGTCAGTCGGTCAGATTCACTTGGCTCGAGAAAACTACGATCTTTACTTGCAGAAAACGCAGCTTGGTTGGGTGGTTGTAGGGGGAATAGACCAAAATCGAGATAGCGTAGCTACGTGCAATTTAGTCGAGTTGAACGAACAGCTCACGAATTTTTGGGAATTAGAAGAGGTTGGTAGTCAGTTAGGTTATACCCCAAAAGAGACTGCGTGCGAAACCCATTATGTCGAAAACACGAGACGCGATAGTAGTGGTTGATACGTCGTTAGATTACCATTCAAGCAGTCAGCTGTACCTCTCGGAGATTCACGGGCTAAGGCGTTCCGACAATTCCAAGCCATGAAACAACGGTTTCTTGGGAACTCTGAACTTCGTGTAGAGTAAACTAAGGTTATGCAGGAGTACATCGATTTAGGTCACATGACGCTCGTCAATAATGAGAGTTTTGGAGGGTATTTTATGCCTTACCATGCAGTACTCAAACCATCTAGTACCACCACAAAATCTCGAGTGGTGTTCAATGCTTCAGCCAAAACAGATAAAGGCCTCTCCTTGAATGAAATGCTCATGGTGGGACCTACAATACAGCCGAAACTCTTCGATCACATTTTTCGATTTCACACTCACACGTTCGTTATCACGGCTGATATAGAGCGTATGTACAGGCAGATCCTTGTCGATCCTCGTGATAGGTTGTATCAGCAAATCTTTTGGTTTCACGAAGGCAGAATTAGGACATTTGAGTTGAACACCGTCACGTTTGGCGTGTCGTCCGCTCCATTCTTAGCTATTCGTACAATCCATCAATTGGCTGAGGACGAAAAGGCAGATTTTCCAAAGGCCAGTGCCATCTTGAAACGCGATTTTTACGTAGATGACTTGCTTAGTGGGGCTGATTCAGTAGCAGAAGTCGTACAGATTCGCAATGAACTTATTTAACTGTTGGCTCGTGGGGGATTTACTATCAGGAAATGGGCTTCGAATCATCAACACGCGTTAGATAATTTAGAGGGACGAGTTTTTGGAACAGAGTCTGTCGTCGAGGGAGATCCTGTAGTCAAGACGTTAGGACTAACATGGGATTCCAAGTCCGATGAATTCCTATACACGGTCAATCCAATCAAGTTGCCCGCAATAATCATGAAGAGAAACATCTTATCAGAAATAGCTCGAATTTTTGATCCTCTAGGTTTGTTAGGTCCAGTTGTATTCACAGCCAAGGTTATTATGCAGGAGTATTGGAAATTAAAGGTAGGCTGGGACGAATCTGTACCTCAGGACCTGTTCACCAAGTGGGCCTCGTTTGCTAAGCAGCTTAACTTATTGGAAGGGGTATCGTTTCCAAGACACCTTCTTTTGCCACACGCTGTCACGATTCAAATCCACGGGTTTTGCGACGCCAGCAACCGAGGATATGGGGCTTGCTTGTGTGTGAGATCAGTGGATAGGTCTGGGAAGGTTCTCGTGCGCTTAGCTTGTGCGAAATCCCGCGTCGCTCCAGTCAAACAAACAACGATTCCTCGACTTGAGTTGTGCGGCGCCTTAACACTGGTTCGATTGTTCAAGGAGTGTAGGGAATCCTTTCCCTTTGTCATTTACAAGGTCGTATTTTGGTCCGATTCTGAGATCGTGTTGCAGTGGATCAAGAAATCCCCTCAGGTCCTTAAAGTCTTCGAAGGAAATCGTGTCGCTGAAATCCAGGAGTTGTCATCAACGATAGAGTGGCGTCACGTGGCAAGTAAAAGCAATTTCGCGGATGTTCTTTCCAGGGGACAAAACCCGGCCGAGTTCGTCGAGAATCATGAGTGGAAGTCGGGAAAGTCTTGGCTGTATGGTCCAGAAGAAGCATGGCCAAATTCAACGAGAAATCACAACATCGATTTACCAGGCTTGAAGGCGTCAACTTGTCTCTTATCAACCTCGAAACCCTCTCATTCCGCAACACCAACTGCGTCAAATTTGTCGTTTCAGGAATCATCCACGAGTCCACCATTCTACAAGCGATCCTCGTCCTACTTTGCGTTTGTTAGCTCCTTGTCTTATTGCTTGCGCTGGCGTCATGCGTCTGATCGAACCAAGGCACCATTCTCGATTGCAGAAAGGTCCAGAGCAGAAACAAGGCTTTTAATTTTCATTCAACAGGAACAGTTTGGCAAGGAGATTGAGCAGAACAAGGGAACCGGAAGTACAAAGAACACCAAACTCGCTGCGTTCGATCCATTCATTGACGCGGACGGTCTACTTCGAGTAGGTGGTCGACTACGACACGCACAAATTCCTGATCGTCAGAAGTACCCGATTTTGTTGCCCTCCTATCATCACGTGACCGATCTTATCATTAGGGAAGTCCATCATTCTTTGTTGCACGCGGGAATTCAAGGCACGCTGTATAAGATTCGTCAACGCTTTTGGTTGTTAGATGGTAAGAATCAGGTTAGGCGGATCGTCCGGCGTTGCATTACATGCATTAGGCATCGACCCGTGAATCTTCAGGCCAAAATGAGCGACTTGCCGCGAGCGCGTGTCCAACAAAATGCGGTTTTTCAGCACGTAGGCGTTGATTATTTTGGGCCAATCAACATAATGGAGAAGAAGTTCCGAAATCGAGTGATTTTACCAGCTTACGGTTGCGTTTTCATCTGCATGCCCACAAAGTCCGTCCACATCGAAATAGCTAGCGACATGACCACAGAAGCGTTTCTTGGATCGTTTAAGAGGTTTATAGGGCGACGAGGAATCCCATCGCACGTATACTTAGATCACGGAACCAATTTTGTAGGTGCAAATAATGAGTTACGCGAAATCTTCAACCTAGTCCACTCAGACTCTTTCCACGATACAATCAGCAGTTACGCTGCGAAGCAAAACATCTAGTGGCATTTCAATCCGCCAGTGTCACCACATTTCAGTGGGATTTGGGAATCTGCGGTAAAATCGTTCAAACATCATCTCAAACGCGTTATCGGAAAGCAAGTGCTTACCTTTTAACAACTCAATACCCTTTGCATCGAAATCGAATCAATTTTAAATTCGCGACCTATCAGTTCAATGTCAAGCGATCCAAACGACCCATTAGCGCTTACACCCGCGCACTTCCTTATTGGTCGTCCTCTTACGATGTTGCCTGATGACGATTTGACTTCCGTTCCAGATAACCGACTACCAGCATGGATATTCGTTGTGAAGGCGCGGCAGGACTTTTGGAAACGGTGGCATTCAGAATATCTTAACGAACTTCAAAAAAGGACAAAATGGCTCGAGGGAAAGGGAGAAATCAAGGTCGGATCTATTGTCATCTTAATGGAGAAATCTCAGTCGAATTGTCATTGGCCGCTGGTAGTGGTCATCAAGGTGTATCCTGGGAGCGATGGTGTCGTCAGGGTCGTCGACGTCAAGATAAGAAATGGAATATACAAACGAAACATCACCGATCTGTGTCCATTGCTCAAAAATCAATAATCACATACAGGTCTTCTGTTGTGCACACTTCACACGAGCACATACGCTTTAACCCACAATTTTGCTCGCTTGACCTCGCAACAAGGGGAGCCTGTTCCGTCGAGAAACGGAAATCAAACGGAGCGTTTGTATACGGTTCAACTCAAATACACCTTTTCTCTCATGTCTTCTCTGCGCCCGCTTAATCTCATCGCTGGGTGGCTCACGGCTGGCCAATGTACGAGTGGCAGTGGGTGGGGGGTTGAGACTTACGCGTATGCTTGTCGGCGCTCTCTCGCTCTATTGCTTTTTGCACGCCTAACCGCACGCATCTCTATAACTACCAACGCCTGCATTTTGCTGCCTTCTCGCTTCAAGGTCATCGTACACCAGGAGTCGACGGCTGTACCAGACGCTTACCACCAGAGGATCACGCCAACGCTAAGTCACCTCATCCTTTCATTATACTCGCTCTTATACGTTGAATCATTTAACCTCCCTCTGTATCTTTCCCACATTCTCTCCTAACATTCTACATATCTCCGCATACTCAACCCCTTTCCACGTCTTCCTCTACTTCTCTCTCTCTTTTTCTCTGCTGATCTATTGCTCCTATACGTCTGACATTCTCTCTCTAACCCTTTCCAATTCAATATATATCTATATCTCTGTCAACTTTATACTATCTTCACCTTTGTTCTCAAGCTATTTTCTACTTGTTGCTATCTCCCCATTTTTTTATATTCTATGTACTTAGTTTCATTTCATTTATTTTCTCATTCTTTCTCGCTCGTACACGCTCCACATTTTTATTCAACCCTTTCCCAGTGGCTGTACATTCCCTCTCTCTCTCTACATTTCTGTAGTCCACCATTTTTGCTACTATCACCAGGGCATATTCTACATCCTCGCCAACCCAACCAACGTGCTATCGCTCTCTCCTCTCGCATAAGTTTGTTCGCATCATTAGTCCTGTACGCCTCTCGAGACGGAATAGTTAACTCCTCGCCCGATCTATCGATCGCAGCGCCAGCTGCATCTGAATTGTCGCAAGGGGCAATTCCACATTTCCGGACGTCGGTCCGCTTTCACCAGCCTTGCGCTGACTCGTGCGACCGAGCAGGGCCCGTCGGTTCGCAAGGGAATCCTATTTCTGCCTTCATTAATTCCTCGCATACTCACACACCGGAAGTCGTTACCAGTAGGTCCTTCCGTACAATCATACACATCCGCATTTACGCACACAAGACCAGTCCGCATTTAAAATTCCGCATTTTCATATCTCATTAGTTATCAATTTCATCAATTTGTATTTGTCTTCGTTTCTTAACAAATCTGGGTTTTTTATGCCGCTGGCTTTTTTCCATTAAATAAGTTTTCTTCATTAATTAACCTTTGTTCAATTTCAGGTAATCAACGCTACATAACCCCCTATTATCAATATTTAAATTCTCAACTTATTTTTTTTGTTATTTTTTATTTTGTTTTTTTTTTATTTCCCTTTATTTATATTTATCCCCCCCCCCCCGTTTTTTAATTTATTTTTGTTTTTATTTTATCTATTTTTTTTGATTGATTTCTTGTTACGTAAGCCCCCCCCCCTTTTTTTGTTCATTTTGCCCTAATCCTTTTTTAATTTGGACCAGGCAATCCATGTTGGATCGGCTGTGCTCCCACACGACAAGAGTAATTGCATACTTTGGCGCCCCAGAAAAAAAGCTGTCAGACAGAGGTGCACATTTCCAAAACAAACTGTTAGAAAAGTTCGCAAGAGTATTTAAAATAGACAAAATGGGAACAACAGCCTTCCATTCACAGAATATCGGCGCAATAGAACGAATGCATCATACATTGACAGAATATTTAAAGGCATACGTAAATGAAGACGACTTTTCGGATGATTATTTGGGCAAGTCCATGTGCGCTTACAATTCGACAAAACTCTCAGCAACGGGGATAGCGCCTCAAGAAGTATTGCTGGGCTACCCAGCCAGCATTCCATCTAGCTTCAAGAAAACAATGAATGAACAAACGTATGATGAGTATGTAACTCATGAATAAGCAGCCATGAATCAAGTTCAGGCAAAGTACAGGTCCACATATTATTACGACAAAAATTTGAACACAAGATTTTTCATGGAAGGGGAAATGGTCTATGTTCTTAAAGAGCCGAGAAAGAAATATGAGAATCACTACAAAGGATCATACGAAATTGTAGGAATAAATTACAAGAACCACAATATAAAACTGAAACATGGCAATGAAATAAGAATTACACACATGGATAAAATCAAGAAAGCATGCGTTATAAAAATCCAATTGTTAGATAATAGGGAACTCGAGGAACAAAGCACAATAACAGAAACAAATAACATAAGAGTAAGAAGCAAATAAAAAATGAGATATCAGAAGCAACAAGACCAAAATAGTGTACTTCTCTCTTAAGCGAGGTTTTTGGACGACTTATGAGATCAGCAGCCATTCAACTGTATGAACAAAAAAAAGAATACAAATCTTGTGTTTCAGGGCTGGAACCATGCCGGTGACACAGCAACCTGGAGAAATAGAGAAAATTGAAAGAAACTCTGAAATATTGGAGGAGAGCTTGGGCCCAGTCCAAGCAGTTGCATTAACTTGGGAAATGATATGGTATTTAGATTGGAATGACATTGTCGAGGAGGTGAATTCGTTTTTAGATGCGAAAAGGCAAGCAAAATGAAAGTGCAGAGTGACGGTGAAAAAGGAACACGAATGTAAAGAACAAAAAGAGTACACGACAGAAAAAGTCCTAAGAGCCTTAGATAGAGTAAGAGAGGCATATAGAACAGTAGTAGGCCAAAAGATCGGTGATCCAATCAAGGCGCTGCAGGGGGGTGTGACTGACGCGGAAAAAGAGAAAATACAAAAGCTAGTAGAGGTGGTCCCGACTAACACAATGGAAACAACTAAGTACTTAACGGAACAAATTAGAGTCATAACATATAAAAACCATGTAAGTTACCTTCAGGATATAAAAAAGTTCAAAGACACATCTGGGAGAATAACGTAGAAAGGTTTAAAAATGTTTGCAGAATACTTCAGCGATTATGACAGAGTTACAGGAATGGTTGGCGAATTTGAACATTTAGTCGAGAAACTTATAACAAAATTTGGAACAACGGTGCAGATAATATACTTGGAGAGTCGAGGAACAACGCATATACCAGATGCGGCATTGAGAGCTATTTTGGAAGCAAAAATTTTGGCAGAGCAGCTGAGACTAGATTTACAGTTCCCAGTAAGGGAAAATACAACTACAGAAATGGAAATTGGAGAAATCTCAGAAATAACGACCATGGCATTTAACGGCAGAATAATATACGACATACGGATACCACTGGTTACAAAAGAAAATTTGGACCTTCTTAGGATATCATCATTACCAGTGGAACAGAAAGGCTTAAATACTACGGATTTAGTGGCATACTTGCAGCCAGCCTACGAATAGCAGTGTTAGTGAGAAAAGATTTACGCCAATACCACAAAAGGTGATAAAACTATGTAAAAGACTAGGAAAAACACGAATATGCACACAAATGGAGCCAACACAGGAGGTCGAAGAGGACCACCCCAGTGAAATACGTATCATATTGGGGATTGCAGTGAAGAAACCAGAAGAATGTCCAATAATATTGGTCAAGTTAAAGGGCACATTTTGGACACGTCTCCATGCTAAAAACCAACATGCCTTTACCACCACGAGAAAGGTCAAAGTCCACATACAGTGTGTACACACCGAACACAAGACACTGAAGTGTGGTGGATTCTGGGGTAGTAAGCTTAGCAAGAGACTGTATAGCTCAAGCATCAGATACAAGACTGGATCCAGGACAAGAGGAAGGTGAAAATCGCATAATGAAGCTTGAGAGCGCAAATCTAAACTTAAAGGATATAATACAAAAGGTGAAAGGGACTGAAGGAGGTATGTTATTGGAATTAATAGAAGCAGTGATAAAAAAAGACGGACTACACGAACTCGATAACCAGGAGCACGGACTTGACGATAGGATAAAAACAGGTACAAAGCTAGCGGATATACTTCAACGGACGCGCGAGTTAGTACAAACAAAGGAGTAATTCTCAAATTGGAAGGAATACGCAATAATAGCAGCGGAAATAGCACTAGGAGTAGCAGCCAGTTCTTTCAGATTTTTAAAATGGGGGGGTCCAATAATACTTCAAGGTTTGAGAATGATTACAGGCGGACAGGAGAGGGACCGCGGAAACACCAACTCGGTACTACAAGACTTGGCAACCCAGAGGGCCATGGTTAACGCACGAGAGGTACAAGTGCTACTGGGCGAGCGGGTAGGATCAGAAGGCAGAAGACAACCAGCTTAGTTAACAACCAATCCGCGATGATCATTGAGGTCGACGATGTAAAAAAAGGGTTATGC